CAGATAGCCCTCGTGTAGCTTTGCGCGAAATTCAAAAACAAACAAACAAATTCTTCACTTTATTAAATATTGCCAGTATATTCTGATCAAATTAATGTGAATGACAGACAGCTCTTAAGAATTTTACTAATGTGGCTATCTGGAAAAGTGTTCCAGAAACGTAAACGTTTTTTTAGATCCTTTATAGTTTCTTTAAAAATATGAATTATTTTAAAGTTTAATGAATGTACTTCATTTGTTTCAACCGTTTTGTATTGCGTTTGGTGTTTATAGTAAAAACCCTGAAGAACATATTTTTCATTATGTTGTTTGAAACCGAGAATTTGAGTTTGTACTTTGGAATCGTCGAAATGAAACGTGTTCGGAAATAAAATGTGAAGTAACAGAACGTGCTGTGGTTGACTTTATGAATCATTCGTAAGTGACTAAATCACCAGTCTACTGTACACAAAGTAATAGGAAATTTACTTTACTTTTTAAAAGTTGGACTGTGTTAAACTGTGTTTATAGACATTCTATATTAATTAATCTTGTGGTTAACTTATAAGTCTTGATACTAGAAGAATACTTACAGTTGCGGAGTTTGTCTCCTCCTGTGTCACGTTTTAAAAGTAAATTAGACCTGCGAATTTGATCCCATAACTCAACAGTTATATACAAACAACATTTGATCCCATAACCCAACAGTGATAAACAAACAACTCATGTAGGTTCACACGTGAAAGTAAATATATGTATATATCTTTGTTTAAGGTTTCATTGCCTTTAAAAAAGTATTCATTAACTGGTTAATTAACCTTTTTAGGAACCAAACCGAAAGTCCGTGACCACTATCGTGCGCACCAGCTGTCTTTCTGGAACAATTTAATCCCCAAAATCCACCGAAGCGGTACAGGAGAGTATCCTCACCACAGTTTCCTTGGTAACCCACATAGTCGTGATGGAGTTCTAGCTTCTGACCTAGTACCCACTAAAGCTGACGAGAATGTGTATTCTATCGAAGTTTCCACTGTTCCGACCACTTTAAACCTTAATGTTCTTTTTGAAACATCAAGTGAACCATCAAACACTTCACCTGCTGAGACCACTCCCGGGGTTTTCCCAAACCACTCTGCTGATACAGCTCAGCCGTCGTCTGAACAAAGCACTTACTCTACAGCGCTAAGTGTCACCATCGCTGTGGGCTGTTCTCTCCTTATTTTGAATGTTTTGATTTTTACTGGAATGTTTTATCAAAAAGATAAAAACAGACTTGAAGCCAAACTTCAGAAAAATAATCACAAGGTAAAAGGCAAGCTCCTCCAATATATTCGAAGTCGTGTCTGTTTTAGATAGGTAGACAAATAAATGTAGGTATCTATGAACTACAATAATGATTTGAATCTAATTCAATGAAATTATTAATTCTTAGCTCTAATTATAAAATAACCATAACTGTCAAATTGGTGTCGTATATATTGCTGTATTAAAACGAATTGAAACTTGGTAGTGTAAAATTTAGTAAGTTTACCACTTCCACTTACAAGTATCTGCAACATATATCTAATCCTGGGTTAAGAGACGTGCACTCTGGAACCTTACAAAACATAAATATTAACATCTGATCCTTTCTAATAATACATTTTATTTATTTATTTAGATGAAAATAGCACAAGAAAATGACAACGTCGCAGTAAATCACCGTAAACAAGTGTCTCGTGTACCTCTCTTTCTCCCTCTAGTCAAGAACTTCCACCCCTCCACCTGCTCCGTTACCAACACCACCAAAAGTACCGGATAAAACTGTTTACGTTCCTCCCGAAGGGAAACCTGTCCCAGAAGCTCAACCTCTCTTACATCATGGTTGCCACAGGTTGGCACCTCCTTTGAGATCAAGTGTGGAGGAAATGAGAGTATAAACTGGATTCAGCTGTTAGATGGTAGAAACTTTGGTGGTTAAAATATTTAAACAGCATTGTTGTGAGATTGGGGGGGGATGCCAAGGACGTTTTACTACTTAATTATTTGAAAAGGGGTCAAACTGTTACAGGAGTTTACTGTACATCTTTAATCAACAAGTTGTGTCAATAAACCAGAGAAAAGAGAAGAGGATTGTTCAAAAATGGAGTGCTCTTCCATCAAGACAATGAATGCTCCAGCTCACAAATCGCGTGTTGCTAGCTTAGAATTACTCAATCACCTGCTCTTACTCATTAGATTTAGCTCCAAGTGATTTTTTTCGCTTACATAATCGACAAAAGAATTACCATGAGTAAGGTTAGTGCCAGATAGGTTCCAAAAATGTTGTCACATGAACAGAAACGGATCCGAGTTGTTGAAAGCTGACAGAGGTTTCAATAGATTTGTAACTATGGATGAAACGAGGGGGTTACAACTTCAACCCAGAAACAAAAATGCAAAGTTTGCAATGGAAACATCCAAGATCACCCTCCACAATGAGGATCAAGTCACAATCCTCTGTTGGGAAGGTCATGACATCATTTTTTTGTATAACCAAATCATGAACTTTATCTACAATTTATGTAGTGGTCCGTGTCGTAAGCCGACTTGTCCTCGGATCATCTTCACGTGCTCGTCTACCGCGCATACAATTAGCACACCACTTCTTTTTGTGTTGAGTATGCCGAAGCGTTCTCTCCTAATGCTTCTCTAATGTCCTGGTGGATTTCTTGATAATAGCAGATAGTTCGATCTTCTCCATGACGTTTAACACTGCTCACTTCTTTCGTTCAAAATGCGCAACACACAAAATAAGCTCGTTATGCTATATGTTACGTGGTATTTATTCATAAAAAAAAGGTCAAACTAAATACTTGTCAGAAAAAAATCATACATTCCAGTTTGTTTTTGTTTTTAGATCGGGCCACGAAATTTTCGAACAACCTTCGTATTAACAGAAAATTATGTTACTATGATTCTATTAAACTTCTTGAAAGAGCACATTGGACAACCTTGATGATTTATTAAGAAGAAAAACATTTTAAGAATGGCTTACAATTCTGTGGACTTGAGAATGTTTCGTTGTAGTAAAAAAAATGGTAAAGAACCTGTTATTGAAATTCCGCGTGATCTTTTGTTTTTATTGAAAGGAAAAAAATTGAATTTTCTAATTCAAGGGATGAAGTGATCTTAAATATAGTTACGATTGGTTATATACAGAGAGACAAAATGAGCGATTTTTCAAAATATACAACGGTAATACACTTCACTCAACGATTGTTGTGGTAGATTTGTTTCATTGATGATGATGTTATTCAGCATTTTAAAGTAATAAGCAAAATATTTTTTCACATAAACCTTCCACGTCCGTCATAAAACATTTAAGTTGTAAAACAGCATTGACAGTATACCTTTATTTCCTTTCTACAGGCTGGTCACACTGAACCTTTGTTCATATGTATATACTACAAAGTACTCTAGGGAATTCGAAAATCTGACAACTACAAGACTTTCATCCTCGATTAAGAACTAAAATCAGTTTATTAACACACTTGAAAAGTTTTAAATTCGCTTTACAAGAAACTAGAATAATGCTGAGGGAAAAAAGCATCCTAATTTATAACGACTTCACAGGAAGTATAACAAAGTTTTATAGTTTTTCGACTCTACTTTTAGAGTTGATTCGTTTCTATTTCTGTCGCTATAGATTGCGCTTTTCATCACAACGTTTGCAAAACGTATTTGAAACGGTCTGATGTAAGTAGCACTATATAATTAATAAGTAACGAAGAAAGAAAAAAAAAAAGTTAAATCTGAAATTTTCACTAAGTAAAATACCATGCGCTTACAGTATATTTCTTTGAAAAGTAATTATTAATGTAAAACGTAGGATTAAGATTTCGTAACCTTGGGTTTCTGGTAGTTAAACAGAAAAGACTGATTTTATTTTTAACACGAGCTAAAGGCAAGTAAAGAGCAAATCAATATTTTTCTTAATTGAGTTTGTACAGAATAGTTTTTATAAGCTAGTATCTGCCTTGTGAATAAACCGACCAAATTTTACACTAGTCGTCTATTTATTTTTAAACGAACATGAGCTAACTAATTTAAAATGCGAATGGAGCCAACTAGTTACATATGTACATCAAAAATGAATGAAAATTGAAATTATGCGTAAGAAAGGCTTAAGTTCTAAGATTCAAATAATGAAGCGCCACTTCCAAACACTAAAATATACCTCCTCTTTCTCCTTCTTGTTTTACTCCACCTTCACCTGCGTGTTTCTCCTTCTCGTCAAGGACTTACTCCACCTTCACCTGCGTGTTTCTCCTTCTCGTCAAAAATCTACTCTACCTTTACCTGCGTGTTTCTCCTTTTTTTTTGTCAAAAACTTACTCCACCTTTACCAGCGTGCGTTAAAACCAATTGAAGCGGAACCAAAGCTCTTTCTTCGAGCTTTATTCTTGGATAGCAATCTGTTAATTACCACAGTTGGTGCAACATTTTATTACTAAATGTGTACGCTTTGTCTTACTAGAAGAGCAGTTAGAGCTTATGAATGAACCAACATTGTCCTCTACCATCTTTGGCGTTGTCAGTATGTTAATTGGATACCAAAGAATTTAGTTGGTTTGTTTTTGAATTTCGCGCAAAGCTACACGAGGGCTATCTGCGCTAGCCGTCCCTAATTT